AACTTCGAATATTCGTATAAATTGATGGAAAACTAAACTGTCTCTCGCCACGACAGAGGTATCAATGGTTTTGTTAGATCCCAAGAAAATTACAAACATTGAAAAACAATGAAAGATGTTCCACTTTGACTAAAAAATGCAAATGTATAAATATTTTAATTCCCAATTTTTTTCGAACATCGCATATTATTTTAGTCATTTCACGTTGTCAAGTTAAATGGGACGTATACGTTGTTTTTTCGACATCAACATAGCGATCGATGTATACCACCTCCTAAGATAGACGAGTCAAAGTTTATGTTTGGCCAGTAGGAAAAAGCGGTAAGGAAAATCTGATAGAAAAAGTGATAAACGTTTTGAGATACCCCGACCTGACTGGGGCATTTTCAATGTTTAAGTTAAACACTATTGATATTAATTTCGTGAGTGGAGGCTCACTTTAATGTTCTAACCCCTTCAATTAGGCGTTTATCTGTCTGACAAGTTTCCAGTCTCGCCAAGAATCACAAACCCTCGATTCTTAAGTCTCCTTTCGGATCAATTCTCGGGTGAAACCATACAACCAACGAACGCATTCTATTGATCTAAATTTATGTGAGCGTAAAAAGGAATCCACGGGCTTATCGCAGAAGTGGCACACTGCGACTTTCTTTAAAGCGGTAAAGCGACTTTATTTAAAGTGTGGCGAATGGTCAAAGACCGTCGGCATGCAATTGAATTCTAATATTCCACGCAAACACGAGCAAGTGACGTAAGAGCGCAAATCGTGCCTACAGACGTCCGAAACCCGCCGACTGCGCACTCAACTCCGCGATTCGGGGGGAGCTCGAGTTGTTTCCAGTAAACGGCGCCCAACCGCCGTCCACTGTCGATGGCTTCACTTCAAAGGGGCTCTGGGCTTTTGGGTCGGGAGGCGGCGGAGGGCGACCGGGCCCACGAGAACGGCAATGGTCGCGGGCAGCGGGCGGGGGTGGCAGCTGCAAGGGAAGCGGGAAAGCGGGAGTAGGGGAAGGGTAGGGGAAGGGGCGGGAGGCAATGGGCAGAGTTGGGGAGTCGAAGGAGGAGGTGAGTGTGGCCAGATTCGAAAGGGAGCGGGGGTAACGAAAAGGGAGAAGACAGTGAAAAGAAGGGAATAAGGTTGGCAGGGAGTAGAGCGGAGTGAGACGAAGAGGAGGTGATTGTGCAGAAGGTGGAGGAGGAGATCGTCGGTGGGG